AAAAAAAAAAAAAAAGAACACCTGGGAGAAAGACAGTATGGACGCCCTGGCCTGACATTTTAAATAAATTGCATGAAGGACGTGCAGTCAGATGGAATCAAGTTTCTTAACATTGACCCAGGAAGGCTGAAAAACAGACTGAATGTGGAATTCTTAGAAAATAATTCCCTTCTCAGAATTTTGAAGTTGTCCTTCCACTAATTGATAATTGAGGATAGAAGAAAGATATTTGTAAACCAAGAAAGGAGATGTGGGATCCTGGGGACCAAAGGAGGCAGAGGGCATTCTCAGGGCTTGCTGTGTCTTCCAGGCGGCAGCTCTTCTGGTGCAGACTAGAGCAGGATGTGGGCTGTTTCCGGGGACAGGTCAGGTGTTTGTATTTGGGGAATACGGCAGGTGCTGGGGTCAGAAGAACTTGGACGTGACAGGTTATCTGAGAGTTTTGATCTTGGGGAAAAAACTTCTTGGAAAGATTGTTGGGGAGGGTTGGAAGAATGATCTCAGTACATGAAGCAAGCAAACACAACTGGTCACTCTGGGAACAGAAAAGTGGGTAAGAAAGGAATCCTGCTCAGGCCGCAGTGTCCATTCCACTGTCAAAGTCATAAGTGGGGAACACAGATTGAGCTGGAAAGTGTTACGCGAGACTGTTGGGGAAATGTGGGAGGTCAGCACAGCTTTGGCAGCGGGAATTCATAATAACCAGACATCCTCATCTATGTGAGAGAAGATGGGTAAGTGACATCTAAAATCGATTCATCGAGGGACTCTTAGAGCAGACAGTTCAGAAACATGGAAGCCGATGCCCAGGGAACACCACCACCAACAAAGGCAGTTCCAAGATTTGAAAGTGGTTGTTCTCAGAAGTGGAATTGAGAACAAATACTGTTCAAAGCCTTCTAATGCCGTAAAGGAGTGTTTTCATCACCGTATTTTACTTTTTTAAACTATATATATGAATTGCTTTGCAAGGACTAAGATTAGTTTGGAGAATGAATATATATACGGTATATACCCTGTATAAAATTACAGAACTTTAGCACAGTGTACAACGGTGGTTCTCAACCTTCCTAATGGCACGACCCTTTAATACAGTTCCCGTGGGTTGCCACCCAGAGATTGAGAACCGCTGGTTTAGAACAAGGTGTCCCAGCCTCGGCAGTATTGACGGTGGGGTCTAATAATTCTCTGTGAAGAGGGCACATCCTGTGTGTTACGGGTGTTCAACAGCAGCCCTGGCTTCCACCCTCTAGATTTCAGCGTTGTCCCTGTCCAGACAACTGAAAATGTCTACAGAATTGCCCAGGTACCCTGGGAGGAGGGGCTAGAATGACCTCTGTTTGAGAACCCCCTATCTGAAGGATTTTAAAATCTGTAGAATCAATCTTCATAATCTGTAAAAATGCTGTTTGATTTCAGTAATATAGGAAATAACAGGTTCATGGCATAGAACTTGAACCTTTAGCAAATGAAGTGGCTCAGAATTCTCTGGCACCACAGCACTGGTGAGTGTCACCAGTACCATGTCAGTTAGCGAGCCTCTCGCCCTTGGCCCGGCATTGTTCAGGCCTCGCTGAAAAGGAAAAGGAAGCAGGAGGAAGCTGCAGCTTCTCTGTTACGCTTAGTGGCTTCTGAAAACATTTTTTAGATTTTTCACGTTCTTGTCACCATGGTACAACTTGAATTTCTCTGCAGTTGAAATGTTAATCATTATGGCAAAAACACGGTGCCCTTTGGACGTGCTCCAGGGCCGCTGGCCACAGGAGAGATGGACACACACATCCTTTCCACCCCCGGGATTCTTTTGCAAAGTTCTTAGTTGAGTTCTGTGTAAGTATTTTCTCCTAAATGGACAACCGAAGTCAACAGGAAAATGGCTCCTCATATTTTTTGATGTGGATGAAACCTCATAAATAATTTAAAGCTTCATTTCACAGCTGAGGAAACTCTGGTCCAGAGAGGGTTTCTTCTAACTTATTAGGAGCAGAATGGGGCTGTCGCTGTTGTTGTGGGTGCTCTTCCTCCTCCTCCTTCCTCCCCCCTCCCTCTCCTCCCCCCTTCCTCCTTCCCTTTCCTCCCCTCTTCCTCCTTGCTCCTCTCCCTTTCCTCTCCTCCCTCCCTCTCATCCCCCTTCTTCCTTCCCTCTCCTTTCTCTCTCCTCCTCTTCCTTTTTCTTCCTCTTCCTCCCTCTTTCCTCCCCCTCATTCCCTCCTCCTCATCCTCCTTTCCCTATGTGTCTGTCTGTCTGTCTATCTATCTATCTATCTTGACATAGAGTCTTACTTTGTTGCCCTCACAGCAACCTCAAACTCTTGGGCTTCAGCAATCCTCCTGCCTCAGCGTCCCAAGCAGCAGGGACTACAGGTGCCCACTGTGATGCTCGTTTTTCTATTTTTTAAAAAATTATTTATGTATTTATTTATTTATATTAAATGATAGCTGTATACATTAATGCAAACATGGGGTACAGTGTAGTGTTTTCGTATACAATTTGAAATACTTTCATCAAGCTGGTTAACATAGATTTCATGTCATTTGCTTAGTCATTGTGTCAAAACATTTATATTCTAGTTCTAGAAAAGTTCACTTGTACCCTTGTTAGACAGATATGTAGGTGATCTTTCCAGTCACCCTCCCACCACCCAGCCACCCTTCTCCCCTCCCCCCCCCCAACCACTCCCCATATTCTTACGCTAGAATTAAGTTGTATTTTTCATTTGAGAGCTATAAATTAGTTTCATAAAAGGGCTGAGTACATTGGACACTTTTTCTTCCATTCCTGTGATACTTTGCTAACAAGAACATTTTCCAGTTCCATCCATGTAAACATGAAGGAGGTAAAGTCTCCGTTTTTTCTTTAGGGCTGCATAGCATAGTATTCCATGGTATACTCATTTTTTCTATTTTTAGTAAAGACAGGATCCTAACTCTTGTTCAGACTGGTCTCGAACTCATGAGTTCCAGCAATCCACCTGCTTACAGCCTCCCAGAGTGCTGGGATTACAGAGCCACTATGCCTGGCTATCCTTTTCCTTTTTAATATAATGTCTGTGCCACATAGTTCTGGGAAGGATGAGAGGATGCACGGGGAAGTGGCTCAGGCACTAGGCAGTTGGGAGGAGTTTGTCGGGATGTCCTCCCTGTTGGGAGTCCTAAGCGTCATCTGCGTAGGGGAGCTCCTTGCATAAGCTCAGAGGAGACATAAGAGAGGGGCGAGGCAGGAGGTGTCATGTTCATTCCCACCACAGGACATGTGCACCTGTTGTGTCCACAGCCTTGCCTCCCTTGCCCCATTCAAGGGCCCCTTCCTCAGAGAACTGTGCCAGGCCCCCGTGGAAAGTAAACTCCACATCTCCTGGTCACTGTTCTACTCCTGTGATTCGGGTCATCTCGGGCTCTCGTTATACAGTTGCCTGCTGGCTTCCCTCCCTGCTCTTCCCGTGCAGAGTCCCACGGCACTTCCATCTTCTGTCTGTCTATCTATCAGCAAGTGGTGGTCACTAGGAAAATGTGCTGAGTTGCACTGACTCTAGAAATACCTGTGTTTCCATTGATGTGTTTTAGGATGGTAGAGAAAATCGTGCCTGTCGTTAAAGTCCAATAGACTTTTCAGTTGTTGAAATTCCCTGGCAATGTTGTCATCATAATCAGTTGTAAGAAAATGGTACCTTTTGAGCAGCGTGGTGTGAACTATCTCCCTGTGAGCTGTAAACAGAGGCTGATGCTTTGAATCTCCCTGTGAGGGTTTCTGCCGTCTAACTCGGTTAAGAGCACAGCTTTGTAATATTAGTTCTAATCCAGAAGTCTACTGTTGTGGAACAGTTGAGAACGTATTTCTGGATGTGCTGATTGACACTTTTGCCTTACGTGGGGTATTTTTCATTAACAGGTAATTGAAGATACTCGAGAGACCTGGAAATAAACCCTCCAAGGAAGAGAGGATTTGCCCGCCTTTGGCTCTGAGTAAGTGGAGTGGATTTCTTATTGCATAATTCATAAACTGTCAACCTCTCTCTTCGAATTTTCTGTGCTTAAAAAATAAATAAGACCTCATTAGCTTTATGTACTGGAAACTGATTTCTCAAGGTGTCTTGGAATAGGTGGTTTTGGTAGCAAAGAAAAAAAAATACCGAGTGTCTTTATTAGTGCTTCATAACAAACTTTGATATTTACCTTCTGAAAGGCAGGTGTGAAATTTGGGAAAGAAAAGTGGAGACTGTTATGAAAGGTGTGTGTTTTTGAGTTGAAGCGTGGTTTCTAATCTTTTTTCTGATACACATTGGAGGTGCTTATGTTTTTTCTCAGGAGCCAGGTTCATAAAAAAACAAAAAAATCTTTGGCTCTTTTATCCATCACGGGCCTCTGTTTTCTTCTGTGTCCCTCTCAGAGTGTGTTTGGAAAAGACAAGCAGATGTGACACTCACTGCCAGAATCTTTATAAAAACCTTGTTTTGGCAACTTCCCGGGGTAGCATGCTTGTGAAGTGGGCCCTGGGAGGCGCCTTCCTGCAATCTGGGGTCTGTGTGGTCTCTGGCTGAGAGAACAGAGACTTACCTCCCCGGGGCCTCTGAGATTGACATCCTACTGACGTATCTCACCCCCCTTACTGTGGGGCTCCATGCTCACTGAATCAAGGGCATCCCTTCCACACCATTCTGTATGAAGATCTTCCAGTTCTGGGACGACCATCCTTTGAGTCTATAACTTCTGAAACATTTGAGTATGCAGAGATTTTTTGAGATCTGTTTGCCTTTGCGGAGGGTGGCAGATAACGCCTTACGGGGCATGCCTAGGGGCCATACAGGTGTTTAGGCCGTGGTGTGGGTGGGTGGCCCCTGGATGGTGTGGACGTTCCGCGCTGTGGGAATTCCAAGGCAGGCTCTGTGAACAGGCTCTGGAGCAGCTGAGAAAGGTGGCTGACCTCTTGGAAGGAGGATTTGGGTTGGTCCTGGTGGTGGGTCGGATTTAAGTGTATAACCAAGACACAAGTCTGTGAGCAAAAATGAGCCAGGAATAAGGAAGAATTTTTACTTTCTTAAGGGAAAAGTGGGTGAGGCAGCCCAGTGGGAGGAATGGGGGTGATGAGTAGCTAATAGGACATGAAGAAAGGTCAAGAGTTTGACCTTGGCCTTCCTGCAAAGGGCATGAGGACGACTTTGCTTCAGGCTCCGACTTCTGTCCACCTGCACATGCCTGAGGGGCACAACCCCTTGGGTGGTTGCAGGGCAGCTTTGGGGTTAGGAAGAGCAACACAGGTGATTCTTACAACCCCCACAGGTGAAGAAAAAAATAGTAAACTATGACAAGATTCTTCTTTACCACTTACTTTGTACCAGATGTTATCATTTTCTGGAAACAGTTGTATCGGGGATACAGTCCTAGAGCGCAGACAGTGCACGCTTTCAAGTGTATAAGTCAGTGGTTTCTGTTTAATTCTCAGAGCTGAACAGCCATCACCACCACCGGCAATTCAGAGCACTCATCACTTCCAGAAGAGACTCATAGCCTTCAGCCCCACTGTCGCAGCCCCTGGGCAGCCCCCCACCTGCCTTCTGCTCTGTGGATTTGCCCACCTGTGGGTGTCTCACAGTAAACGGGGTCGCACGCTGTGTGGCCTCTTCACTGAGCATTGTCATGGTTGGCCTGTGTGGCAGCTAGTGTGTGTCAGGGCTTCTTTCCTTTTTATGGTCAAAGGCAACTTCCTCTTGTGGGTGGACCACGCTTTCTTGACCTAGTCATTGGTCAGTTGCTGTTATTTATTTTTTTGAGACAGAGCCTCAAGCTGTCCCCCTGGGTAGAGTGCCGTGGCATCACAGCTCACAGCAACCTCCAACTCCTGTGCGAGTCTCCTGCCTCAGCCTCCCAAGTAACTGGGACCACAGGTGCCCGCCACAACGCCCAACTATTTTTTGGTTGCAGCCGTCATTGTTTGGTGGGCTGAGCTGGATTTGAACCCGCCACCTTAGGTGTATAAGGCTAGCGCCTTAGCCACTTGAACCACAGGCACTGAGCTGGTTGCTGTTATTTTTGAACCATTCTCTTCTGACACAATGTTAACCTCAGAAGTTGTGAAAATAGTGCAGTGAGTTCCAGAGTTCCCTCCCGATGCCCCATCTTACAGGGCAGTGCTGCGTCATGAAGAGTGGGGACTGGCATTGGAACACACTGCTGTCATCATGGAGCCTGTCTGACCACAAGCGCCCACGTACCTGTGTCTGTCTGGGGGACACAGCACACACATACCTGGGTCTGTCGGGGCCACGCAGCGCACACGTACATGTGTCTCTGTGGATGGACAGCCGGTCCTCGACTTAGCCCTTACACGCTTAAAATATTGAAAGGCAAAAAATGCTATGCTACTCAACCTAGCAGAGATCAGGGCTGAGCCCAGCCTGCCTTAAACACCACATGCTCATACCCATCGCATTAACCCACACAGGCTTAGTCATGTACCAGAAAACCTATTTCATCAGCATGATAAAGTGCTGACTCCCTTGTGAAATGCACTGCATGGTGCATTGGAAGTGGAGCACAGAGTGTTGGCCTGGGTCCCCCAGGGGAGGCTCCCAGTGGGTTCCTATGTGGCTTTTGTATCATTGTAAAGCTGAAAAAGATAAGTCAAACCATCGTAGGTTGAGGACCATGTGTAGATTCACGGAGC